GCCAATATATTATCCAGTTATCCAAACTAACGCTAGATCCTATACTCCTAACACGTGGATCACCTTGTAGAGCCAATGTAATATCCCGATCCGAGGTGTCCGTAATACACTAAGTGTGGATCAAATAAGAAACCAACCACTTGTGCCCAATGATCCAAATTCGATTCTCTGTTATTCCTAAGTCCTATATCATAGCCTGTCTTACTTCTACAGCGCAGGATCCGCATGTCTGATTACTGCTTCTATGGGAGCAGCTATTATCTCTCAGGGTCTGCGCGTAATCACCTCATGTCGACACTCCACAGTCGGATTCGCCGGATCCGAATCCCTACTTGACCTTCTTGATCGCCGTCGAAACCTCGTGAACCGTAGTTGTTGTGACATAACAATAGCCCTACTGTATGCTATAGGTTTAAGTAAGATGATTGAGCAATAAGGTACAAGCACCCAATTCTATTGGTTAAAAGTAGTACGTCTGACAACCATCCACTAACGAAGAGAGAGACGGCAGGGAAGCGACAACCGGATGATGCCCTGGAAAGAGATGGCATGAATACCATCTCACTCTTCAACCTGACGGCAAACAACACACTCTACTCTACATCGTGTGCAACATTTCAAGTACTCTAAGGATGACTGCCGATGCAAAGTCTGGTGACGATCTAGAGAAGTTTAAGGGCAAGTCCTACGCTATGTGGAAGGATAAGCTGTTGACACATGTCAACCAGTTGGACCATGAGTACCTGACGAAGCTGCTTGAGAAGAGGCAGCCTGAGCCGAGGGTGCTAATGACCGACTTCCTGCGCACGAACCCCGAAAATCCAGTGTCTCCAAACACCGAGACGGATGAGCAAGAGGCGCTCGCAATGATGTGGGACGTCATGTACTGGAAAAGGGGGCGTGGTGGCTTACAGAACCTGCTAAATCAGGTTCTCCCTGATTTTTTTCTGTCTACGCTGCCGGATGTGGTGTCCTCAATGGACCCATGTGAGGTTATCCAACTGTTGGAAAAGGACTTCGGTCAAGGAGATGCTACGGGCCTGATTTAGTTGACACGTGCCTGGTCTAAATTGATACGCAGCCCTTGGCGCGATCTAAGAACCTTATTTGCGCAGCTTAAAAAGGCAAAAAATGAGATAAACCGAAAAACACGCAAGTTGTTGGGACAAGACATGGTAACTGAAACATGGCTCTGCGTCGAGGCCCTGTCCCAGCTACCTAGTGAATTCTGGGCCTCCTCTATTTCCATGAAAAAGGAAGACTTTACTATGGACCAAGTTGAGGGCGCCTTGCGGCGGGTCTTTGGAGATAAATCCAAGAAAGAAATGATTCTTATGGACAAGACCCAGGCTATCACGGCCAACAATGTGAGGGTGAAACAAGGCACGAAACGAAAGCCTAGTGGGAATGAGAGCAAACATGCCTGCTTCTACTGTTTCCAGGCTGGACACTTTAAATTGGACTGTCCCACAAAAGCGGCAGATAGGGATCCAAATCGGAAAGGTGGGCCCCTATTTAGGACCGATGTCCATACTGCACCGGGTACTAAGCATTGCCACAATTAACACGATCAAGACTGTTGTTGCTGATGGGGAAACCCGCCTGAATAGGAGTGGAAATACCGTGTTGGAGCAATGCCAACAAGACCAGACTATGGATGATATCGAGAGCCTGAATCCGGCTCACAATGAAGGCTTCGAGGACAATGGCAACTCAGCCGAGACTCCAACAGGATCTCCCCAAAGCATGGGAGGCATTCAAGCAGAGGTATGTAAAAGGAATTATTCCTACTTAAAGGCTTTAAAGAGGATAACTCTAACCGACGATATGTGGGTGGTTGATACGGGTGCAGGTCGCGCTATAACCCCGGATAGAAGCTGATTTAAGGGTAGTTTGATGCCTGGTCAAGCCACACCTTCACATACGGTAATGGGACTGTATCCTATAGTTCCCTTAAGGGGTCAATAAAGCTGAATGTTTTGAACCCTAAAAGAGGTCTGAGTGCATTAACGTTAAGTGATGTGTCCTATGACAGTAAGTGTGACAGTAACTTATTAAGTGCATACTACCTCGCTAAACAAGGCTATAGACATTTCAGTTCAAAATCTGGAGATTTCCTATTCTTTATAGGAGAAAACTTTAAGTTGCTATTTGCCGCAGTGGTAATAGGCGAAGTCTATTACTTGCCAAGTGCAAAATTAGCTAAAACCAAGGTATTTAGTGCCCAAACCCGTAAATTTGCCGAAACCCTGAAAGAATGGCATCTAAGACGGGGCCACGTAGGAAAAGAACGTCTAATAAGGACAATATGCAATCAGAAAATAGAGGGACTCCCAAATATCCCCTACTCAGAATTACATAAAGTTGCGTTCTTTTGTAAAACGTGCGCTCATATGAAGTCTCGAAGAATGTCCTATCGGAATAAGGTAGGAAATAAAGCTACTCCATACACCATACATGGACTCTACAGGGAAAGTTAAGGTTAACGGTCTATATGGATCCTTTGGCCATCGATATGCCCTGGCAGTTGTAGATGACACCACCGCTTATAAGTGGTACATAGTGGTAAAATCGTTAAAAGAGGTATCAGGGAAAATTAGGACCCTATTGGAGAATCTAGCTGTTCAGTTTCCATCTTTTAAAGTTCGAAGACTTAGGACGGATGGAGGCACTGAATGTCTGAATAATGTAGTTTCTACTCTATGTTCTGACCTTGGATTAGAGTTTCAAAGTTCCAACGTAGAATCTCAAGAGGAGAATGGTAGTGCTGAACGCGCCAACCAAACTATGATGGGTGGTGTTCGATGCGCACTTAGAGGTGCCAATATGGCGGCAAAGTGGTGGCCAGAAGCCCTACTATACATAGTAGACATCACTAACAGGTTACCGATGGCTAGACTAAAAATGAAGTCGCCTTATGGATTGCTATACGGTAAAAGGCCTAATGGTTTAGCGTTCAGAATATGGGGTTCAACATGCTAGGCGCATGTTCCCAAAACTAAAAGAAAAAATGCAAAGTTACGTAAGAGAGCTATAGAGTGCAAGCTCTTAGGATTCTCATCTAAATATAAAGGGTACCGACGTTTAGATGTTAAAGCAAATAAGTACCTTATAGCTAGGGACGTAAAGTTCAGCACCACTGTCACCGATGCTATGATAAGACAGTCGTTTCCTATAGAGAATTACACTAACGATCTAGAAGAGGAAAGGGTTATACAGCCTAGGAAAGCGATCTAGAGGGAACATTGAAGTTGAAGTCCCAACTCAAGCTGAAGACATGAGTTCAGAATCTGTAATAAGATCACTGACATCACAATCAGTAGGAGTAACCAATGGTGATGGCATAAGCCCCGAACCTGTCATTAGACCATCCACATCCCAACCAGTGGGAGTAGCCAATAGGTCAAACAGTGACGACAGTAGGCCAATCCGTAGGTCTAAAAGGCAAAGAAAGGCAAATATCAGATTAAAAGAGTATGTCACTCAGTTGAATTCTGTCGGGTCTGATCTATATCAGATCCCGGTCCCACGTTCTATAAAGGAAGCGCGCTACAGCCCACATACCAAGCAGTGGGAGTGTGCTATACAGACAAAGTGCAATGCATTATTAAGCAACAATACGTGGGAAATAGTTCCCCTACCTAGACGACGGAGAGCCCTTGGCTGTCATTGGCTATTTGACGTCAAGTATAAGGCTGATGGCACAATTGACAGATTTAAGGCTAGACTGGTAGTTCAAGATAATACCCAGTTATATGGAATTGGCTATAAAGAGGTCTCTGTTCCTGTAGCTAGGTATGAGTCACTACGACTGCTACTCGCATTGGCTACAATCCTAGGACTCTACCTACACCAAATGGACGTATCTACAGCGTTCCTAAACGGTGTCCTAAATGAGATAATCTATATGAGGCAGCTACTGTGGTTCCGATCTGAAAATCGTACTCTAGTTTGTAAGCTACAGAAAAGTTTGTACGGCCTAAAACAGGCTCCAAGAATTTGGTGCCAAGTCCTTAATGCCTTTTTTAAGACTTAGCTTGTTAGATGCAAAAAGGAGCATTGCTTGTATATAAAAAGGTGGGAGGTTAATGGTGTCAAGCACTTGCTTATTGTGTGCGTGTATGTTGACGACCTAACTATTGCAGGCTCACATTTGAGCTCTATCAATGATCTAAAAGTTAACCCTATCGCGACCCACCTACCTTCACTATACTATACAAAGCTAGCATATTCACTTTTCA